TTCTTTGTTTCGTTGTATTTTTTTTTTTGTTTTTTTTTTTTTCTTTTTTGTTGTTGAGAGAGATTACCCTGTTCTGAATATTTCTGATCAGGAAATGACTCTGGCTTGTAATTATTAGCTTAAAATTGGTTCCCAATTTAGGCACCTACACCATTATCAGTCCATCCTCATTCTCTGTTCTGTTTTCCCCAGTAAGATGTCACAGCCCACTGTGATCTTTTCTCCGGTAGCCTGGTCTTACCAAAAGAAGATCCCATCCTCGCCCACCTAGTACGGGCTCAAATAGCTATCCACACCTCACCACTATGACCACTGAGACCTGTTTTCAGCTTCTTCAAATCAGAGCTTTCCATGTCTTGTTTTCTCTCATGTGACTCTAGATGTATTCTTCTCTGATCCCAAAGGTAGCCCTGTCTGCAATTTGCAATAGCAGCATGTTAATCTAGATCAAACATATTAGTTGAATCATAAGAAATTACCTTTGTGAAAGGGGTGGGTGGTTGAATGTAGAAATTTCATATGTTTCAACCTATTATATAAACCCAATTTGGGAAAGGAGACTGTTGATCGCATACATACTGATTATATTTTGGATCCCATCAAGAATCCTAATATATTTCTTCCTCCATACCTTGTAGAACTGGAACTTGTTCCAGGACATGACTTAGGCTCTGTATGTATACTTTCAGACCTCCCTATACCCAGCACGTGGTAGATAGCAATACCGTATTTATGAGGGATTAGATGGGAGCCTTTTCTGATATGTTGTTGACGTCCAAGTTTACACATTTGAGCTGTTTAAAAAGCAGCATTTACAATTACATTATGGGAGAAATAACACTTCTTTTTTGAACCTCTTGCAGATTGAAGACATCATTACAAAGATGCAAGATGACAAGACAGGGGTGTACCCATCAGAACAGTCAAGAGCTTTCTCTCCAAAATCCCCAGCGTTGTCACAGGTACACCCCCTTCCGGGCTGGTAACAATCAGAACTACCAAAGAGTCATAAGTCTGGATTGTGGCCTGATGGGATGTCTGAATGTTTCTTGAGTCAGTCTTAGTTCTTAGTCTCTAAGAAGAAGCTACTTGTTGGCTGTCATTAGGAATGACTTTACCATGACCAGCCCTTCGAATGCATGTAGATTGAGGCCTCTGGAAATAAATAAGCCCCTAATAAGTGGCCCATTAGCAACTTTGCCTGTGGGATATACGCAGGCACCGAAAATATTAAAGATATTAAGTTTAAACAGGTTTTTAAGAAAGTGTGGTGGAATCCGAGCAAGACTGCGTCTCTCCAAAAAAAAAAAAAAAAAAAAAAAAAAACATGCTAAGGGATGGGATGGGGAATGAAAGAAGCCTTATTGAATGCAGAATGCTAATTATAACAGAGACTCACTGAAAGATTTTAACGGTGGTATGATATGATGTACTTCAGGTTATTCATTTTGTTTGCCCAGGTACTTAATAAGATCCTTGAGAACGAAGGACATACTTTACATTTCATTAGCACTAGACACAGCAATGACACAGTGCAGTTTATAGACCAGGTTCTGAATAACTATGTTGACTAATTGTGCAGGAGTAAAAGCATGTGATGAATCTAAGCTAACTGGACCAAAAAATGATCCAATTAAAACTTGTACCTAAAAAAAAAGAAAGTGTTATGTTCAAATTCTACAAAATGCTTTTCTTTTCAGTTTTTTAACTCAGTGTACTTGAAGTCCTGAAAGAGAGGTTTTAAAATATTTTTCATTCCTTGTATTATGTTTTGTGTGTGTTCATCTTTCTTTTAAAATTTTGTATTGTGAAATATATCAAACACATGGGCAGTTCAAGAATATTAAAACACATCACATGTATCTACCATCCTGCCTTATCAAGAACATGTTATCAATATCTTAGAGCCCCCCAGTGTATCTACTGTATTACATCCACTTCCCTAAACACTGTCTGCTCATATACTAATCAATTCATTGTTTTCTTCATAGTTTTACTACCTAGGCATGCATCTTTTGCTATCCAAACAAGTAACCAAGTAAATTAAGATAGCGTTTGAGATAAATCTCTTAATCTGCCTGTATGCTTTTCAAAATTCAGTAACCAGAAGGACTTAGTTTTCACTTTATACCTTTTAGAATGGCTAAAAATAAAAATATTGATAGTAGCGATTGCTGGTGAGGATGTGAAGCAACTGGAACTCTCACATATTGCTAATAGGAATGCAAAATTGTGCAGCTACTTTGGGAAATAGTTTGGCACTTTCTTACAAAGTTAAACGTATTCTTACCATATGAGCCAGCAGTTCCACTCTTGAGTATTTATCCAAGAGAAATGAAAACTTGTGTTTACCCAAAAACTTGTATGTAAGTGTTTATAGCAACTTGTTTTTGAAGTATACTGAGGAATATAGCAATCTTATTCATAATCTCCAAACAACCCAAATGTCCTTCAATGAATGGGGTAAATGGATAAACAAACTGTGGTCTCTCCATACTTAGCAATAAAGCCAGGGAACTGTTGATACCAGCAGCAACTTGGATTAATCTCTAGGTCATTTTTCTGAGTGACAGAAGCCAGTCTCAAAGGTTACATGCTATGTGCTTTCCTATATACCACATTCTATACATCACAAAACTATAGTGATAGAGAATAGATCAGTGATTTCCATAGACTGGCAGTTGCAGGGCAAGTGTGGCTACAAAAAAACAGCAGGAGGGAGTTTTATAAGACGATAGAACATTTCTGTGTACTGATTGTGGTGATGGTAACATGACTGTCTCTACAGGCCAAAATTCATGGAACAGGCTGGGCATGATGGCTCATGCCTGTAATCTTGGCACTTTAGGAGGCTGAGCAGGGTGGATCACCTATCAGGAGATTGAAATCACCCTGGCCAACATGGCAAAACCCCATCTTTACTACAAAATACAAAAATTAGTTGGCTGTGGTGGTGTGTGTCTGTAGTCTCACCTACTCGGGAGGCTGAGGCAGGGGAATCACTTGAAGCTGGGAGAGGTAGAGGTTGCAGTGAGCCAAAATTGTGCCACTACACTCCAGCCTAGGCTTACAGAGCGAGACTCTGTCTCAATAACAGCAACAACAACAAAAATTCATGGAACAGGATGCACACACACTCACACACAGAGTCAGTATTACTGTATATTAACTTAAAAAATAAATAGACCCAGTTCAAGTACTCATAAGTACCCCAACTCATTATTGAGATTGTCACTATTTGAACTAAGGTTCTGTCTTACTCAACTCAGGCTGCTAGAACAAAGCACCTTACACTGGGTGGCTTATAAAGAACAGAAATTTATGTCTCACTGTTCTGGAGGCTGGAAGTTCGAGATGGGGTTGCCATCATGAGTTCTAGTAAGAGCCCATTCCAGGTTGTAGACTGCTGACTTTTGTTGTATCCTCATTTTGTGGAAAGAGCTAGAAAGGTCTCTGGCCTCTCTGTATAAGGTAATAATTCCATTCATGAGGGGTGCTCCTTCATAAACCCCCCAAAGACCTCCTAATGCCATTGGGGATTAGATTTCAACATATAAATTTGGAGGAGACACATTCAGTCCTAAACAGATCCCAAATAGATTTGGGTAATGAAGGATACTTGTATTGTTAGTGTTTTCTAATTTAAAATTTTATGTAAGTGGAATTTTACTATTATACATATATATTATGTATGTAATTTTACTATATTATTTTTCACATGGCTAGATTTTGTTCAATAATGTTTAAGATTTTTGTATCTATTTCGTGGGCCACATTCGTCTGCTGTTTTTCTTACCATAGTTTCTGGTTTTGGTATCAAATTTATGCTAGCCTCATAAATGAGCCATGAAATATCTCCCTTTTGTTGAAATCCTGCCTTTCTTTGAAAACTAATTATCCCTTTAATCCAGGTTTTAGGTATGTAATTTCAATTATTTTTTATTTCTAAAATTTCCTCTGGTTCTTTTTACAATATGCTTGGTCATTCATTTCTTATTTATTCATTTAGATATTTATTGAGTGTTAACTATTCTCAAAGCATTGTTAAGGACTTGAGATTGAGAATTAAATGAAACAGATAAAAAGTTCTACCCTCATGGAATTTATATTCTGGTAGAGGAGGAAATAAGTAAGGAAAACTTGCAGAATTTTAGGTAGTGATAAAGGCCAAGGAGAAAAAATAAAATACGCAAAAAGGATGGGGAGTTTTGAATGTTGCAATTTTGGAATAGGTATTCAAGGAAGAGCTCCTTGAGAAGATGACATTTGAGTAAAGATGGAAAGGAGATAAGGGATTGAATCATATGGATATTGAGGGAAATAGCATTCCAGACAGCCAGAGCTCAGTGCCCAAGTCGGGAGACTTCCTGGAGTATTGAGGATCTGTGAGGAGGAGCCAGGGTAGCTGAAATAGAGTCAAGAAAATAAGAGCAGGGATGAAGCCACATGAGAATGGTGAGCTAGATCACTTAGCCTCTTACCACTGCAGGATTTTGCACATGGCCTGACATGCTCTGACTTACCTTTCAATGAGATTACCCTATTGTATTCAGAATTCCCTGGGGGATTGAGGATTTTTGGTGCCAAATAGGAGGCTATTATTAAAATGGTGACTCAGACTAGGTGTATTGTTTGGCTCTGTGTCCCCACTCAAATCTCATCTTAAATTATAATCTCCATATGTCAAGGGAGGGACCTGGTGGTAGATGGTCAGATCATGGGAGTGGTTCCCCCATGCTGTTCTCATGATAGCAAGTGAGTTCACACAAGATCTGATGGTTTAAAAGTGTGGCATTTCCCCTTACTCTCTCTCTCTCTCCTGCTGTCATATAAGACATGCCTTGTTTCCCCTCTACCTTCTGCCAGGATTGTAAGTTTCCTGAGGCCTCCCAGCCATCTGAAACTGTGAGTCAATAAATCCTCTTTCCTTTATAAATTAGCTAGTCTTAAAGTATTCTTCATAACAGTGTGAAAATGGCCTAATACATTAAGCTGTTAGCACTGGAGATGTGTGAAGTAGTCAGATTCTGATTCAAGTCTGAAGGTAGATGATATGGTTTGGCTGTGTCCTCACCCAAATCTCATCTTGAGTTATATAACAGTCCCCATAATTCCCACATATCAGGGAAGGGATGGTTACCTCTATGCTGTTCTCATGATAGTGAGTGAGTTCAAACAAGATCTGATGGTTTCATAAGGGGCTTTTCCCCATCTTTGCTCTGCATTTCTCCTTGCTGCTTTAATGTGAAGAAGGATATATTTGCTTCCCCTTCTGCCATGGATTTTAAGTTTCCTGAGGCCTCCCCAGCTGTGCTGGACTGTAAGTCAATTAAACCTCTGTCCTTTATAAATCACCCAGTCTTGGATATGTCTTTATTAGCAATATGAGAATGGACTGACACAGTAAATTGGTACCAGAGAGTGGGGCATGCATGTAAAGATACTTGAAAGTGTGGAAGCAGCCAGGTGTGGTGGCTCATGCCTGTAATCTCAGCACTTTGGGAGGCCATGGCAGATGGATCATTTGAGGTCAGGAGTTCAAGTCCAGCCTGGCCAACATAGTGAAACCCCATCTCTACTAAAAATACAAAAATTAGCCAATGGTAGTAGCACACACCTGTAATCTCAGCTACTTTGGAGGCTGAGGCAGGAGAATCACTTGAGCCTGGATGGCAGAAGTTGCCATGAGCTGAGTTTGCACCAATTCACCCCAGTCTGTGAGACCCTTTCTCAAAAAAAAAAAAAAAAATGGAAGCATCTTTGGACTCGGTGACAGGTAGAGGTTGGAACAGTTGGAAGGGCTCAGAAAAAGACAAGAAAATGTGGGAAAGTTTGGAACTTCCCAGAGACTTGGGGGGGCTCAGAAGACAGGAAGATGTGGGAAAGTTTGGAACTTCCTAGAGACTTGTTGAATGGCTTTGACCAAAGTACTGATAATTATATGAACAATGAAGTCCAGGCT